TTAATACTAATTTTATGCAACAGTGTAAAATAGGAGTTAAAAGGGGAAAGGAGAAAAAAATAGCCATAATAAGAAAGTCCGATTTGCGTTTTCCCGTCAAAATATCTCACAAACAAAATCGAAGGGAGATAAAAATTTAAGTATGTTTTTTTCAAATATAAATCGAAATAGAAATAAAATAATATAAATAAAATAATTCTTTGTAGGTCGAAGACAAATAAAACCCAATTGCAGCATGTAGTGTCAGTGGTAGATGTATGTCAGGATGTAACATAGTACCAATGAAGGGAGCAAAGCCTATCTTACTCGGTTTTGGAAAAAAATGGAAAATGAGCTCAATTTGATGGGACCACCAAATAAGAGTATCGCCGAATGGAAAAAGGTTTAGTACTAAATTGTTCACATTCATTTGCATAAAATAATCCATTCTTCAAAATTACTTAAAATAGGTTTGGGCTGACAAAAAAAAATAAATAAGTAAGGCAAAAAGCTGCACAGAATTTAAAATACAAAACAGGAACAGGAGGCGACACAAACAAGGAGCAAAAAATGTTTCCCAATTGTCTTCTTGACTATCTTTTAGAAATCCTTTGTTGCTCTCAGGAAGTAGCAACATCCTCTAAATATGATCTAAGTATAATACTATTCATTTTTCTGGTTATAATTCTTTATATCTTTTTAATTATTTCGTACAACACAAACACTTTAAATTTGCGCAAACAAATAAGGGTACACAAAGTATGAAAAAGACCCACAGTTGATTAAAAGGGATGCCATATTCCAAAAATTTTACTCCTATATTTTCCACGATTGGAGGATTTTTCTTCCGAGAGAAATGCTTTCTGTGGGAATAGAATTTCTCTCACATTTTGCCGATTGGGCTGATTATGTTATAATCTCTGATCCGGATCCTGAGTATAGAGGTAAATGTTTATTTTAATTATTATATATCCCTATATTTTATATCCCTTTGTTTCTTTTGTTTTTCCGCCCTTATGGCCGAAATCAGAGACTTTTTAATAAAAAAAATTGAATCAATTAGAGAGTGTCATTAAAAACGACGAATAGCTTATATGATATACAATTAAAAGCACAAGAGTTATATCCACAATATTATAGTTTTAGATAAGTGTATTATTATTTTACTTTATTTTAATTATGAATTATAAATAATCTCTCCGCCAAATGTTAAATTTAGAAATATTTTGGAATATTTTTGTAGTGTCGTTATGGTACGGTACCATTGTTATGGTTACCATTTATTTTTAGTTAGAGGTGGTAGTTTTTATTAACCTTGAATAATAGTATATTTGAAAATCACTGTCCTTATTTCTCGTTTTGTACATTAATGATGAAATTTGTTATAATGATAATGTAAAATGTATATTTTGTTACTGTTTTTTTTTTTTTTTTTGTATACAATTATTTAGGTACTTCAAGAGTATTTTTGTTGTTGTTGTGGTTGACTTTTATGTTTATTAGCTAAATAATAATTTTCATTTAAAATTGTATTTATTTTTAATTGAATTAACATTTGAGTTATTATGTTCGTTTGTCATACATTCACATATGTTTTATTGTGGTAGTGGTGCTTTATTCTTTTGTTGTTCTTGTTGTTAATATTTCTTTCGGGTGGGTGGGTGCAATTTTCCATAATTGTTGTTTTTTTTAACTATATTCAAGAAAAGATAGTTTTTCTTGTTTAATTACAAAAAAATATATTTATATATGTATATTACTTTGTTATTGTTGTTGTATTGATAAATATGTTCTGTTACATTTCTTGAGTTCAGATTTTGCAAAAATATGTATTTCTTAGTAAAAATTATTTATTTGTTTATTTGAACGGCAATTTTTCTTTATTATCAGATTTTAAAACATAGACAAACTACATTTATGTATTTATTAAATATTGTTATTATTTTTTGTAATAATATATTTGTGTAATTTTGTTTTAAACAAATCCATAGAATGTTTTATTTGACTGAACATTAGTTTTATAACGTAGTGGTAAAAGGTCAATGTAGGTGACAGGCAGCAAAGGAAATAGAGGTTTAAGATTTTTTTTAAAGAAGTATGAAAGTTTAAATTCTTAAATGAAATATTGAAATACAGTCATAGTAATAGTCCTCGCAAAATAAACAATTCTTAGCGATTTTTTCAAGGGACTGTAACTTTTTTAATCGTTGGGTGCTTTCATAAAATATGTCTGATGTTTCCAAAGCATTTTCTTGACATTTTAGATTCGCTATAAAATTGTTGTATTGGAATACAATAACTACAAGGGTTTCGAAAATATTTCCTGTATTCCAAGGAATAAAAGGTACGGAATGTGGTTTTCATTAAAAAAATAAATTTTAAATATAATCTCCTTGTTTGTTTTATGTACTATGTGTAGTTTGTAAGAACAGGTCTTTAAGGCTTCGGCACCATTAATTTGATTTTTCCAAAATCATATGCAGACATTTCTAGTAAAAGAAAAAAGGGATTTTGTAGGTCGAGGATCTTCGTTTCTACAAGACAAATGGAATTGTATGGGAGTTGGACATTGTTGGGAAAAACTGTGGCCTATGTCACCTACACTGACCATTCATTATAGTAATAATGATTTGTTTTTATTATTATATATGTACTGTTTTGTTGTTGTTATTATTATTTCATAGATGAGGCACAAGTAGTACAATTAAGTTTCAGTTTTTTGTTTTATTTATGTAATAGCATTTGAAGTTAGTTTTTGTTTTTCTTCTGCTTCTTCTTCATTTGTTTGTCTTTTTTTTAAAGCAATTTAATTTTTATTAGAGATCCAACAAGCCCTTTAAATGAATATTTTAATTGGAATTAATTTGTTTTGCTACAATTAACCATAATTTTTCATTTCGGATAAACTTTGGCACTTTTTCTTAAATAGTTTGGTTTTAAATATTTTTTTTTTAAATTTTCTGTTAAGCTTTCCATAGAGTCTAGGTTGTCAAATAACAAAAATTAGAGCGATATTGAGTTTGTTGTAATTATAGATTTGAAAAGAACAAGGGTTATTTTTTGCTTAAATTTTTTGTTTTTTTCTTTCAACTATTAATTTATAGAAAGCTAAGATTTTAGGAAATTTCTCTAGTAGTTGTAGTAGTTAACCAAAAAAAATTTTAGGAATAGAAATGGTGGACAGTTAGTTAGTTTCTTGCAAAGTTGTAGTTGTTTTGTAGTAATCGTAGTAGTAGTAGTAATTGAACCTAATGAGCATTTTATTTGTTATACCTTGTAAGTAATTTTATTTTATATATATGTATATTACAAGAGCAAAAATCTTGTTTTTGTTAATCATATATAAACAAATTAATATCAAATATTTTATTTCTCTACATTACTTAAATATATATCTGGTAGATAATACATATGTTTTTGTTCTGTAATAGACACCAACAATAATTATAAAATAATTGTAAGTTTTTGGTTTGTTTTATTTCCTCTGTTACTCTTTAAATATAAAACAACTAATTGGATTTTCATTTGTTGATATGCATAAATAACAATAATACTATAAACTATAGCCAGAGAACACTTAAAACTTATAAAGTTTCTTTTTTCAGAAATATGGAGAAGATAGTCGAAGTTTTGGGAGTAATACATACGCTGAAAAGGGGAATCGGTAAGATCTTACATTTGTTTAAAACTAATTTCATTTCACTTTAATTCCATAGGATTTGGCCGTGCTTTGTGGAGAAATTAGTTGACACCTGGGGGTTTAAATTGTTTTACGCCGATAATGGGGAAACACATTATTAGGTCTGAAAGGACCACCAAGAAACGACAGTGGATCAAAAGTGGATAGAGCAGATATTGAGCAACGAGGTGAACAATCGAAATATAACCATTCAGATCAGTAAACTAAATTGAAGCTCTAAAATTAAATTTTATACGCCGTACAGACCCAAGGGATTCACGTTGCGTACAAAAGTGGTCTGACTCCATTTCCGGTTCCATTGAATGAGAGCTTTAAATTGTGTTAACATGACGAGTTCAATCAGATTTAAAAAAGAAGTACGTCTGTCTTCAGGTGCATATATAGGATTTTATTTCTGTATGAAAAAATATTAATTTCTGCATACGTCCCTGGTATAGTGTGCATAATAACTCTATCCGATTTGGTCCACATTTGTAACAAGTGATTATTGCAGAAATAAACGGAATAATGTAATGGAATACTGAGGAATATTGAAAAGCGCCAAGGATGTGAGTTTATAATAGATTTCAAATTTTTAGTTCCCAAAACTGAAAAGGTTAGAAAAGAACGAAGGATTACTTACAATAGGTGAGTCTACCAATAAAACTTCTAATAAATATAAAATCCATAACGAATCTTAATTTTGAGTTCTTTTTTCAGAATTTTCTCTCTCTTTTAATTGGAATGATAACAAGAATTTGGTCCTAAATATCACCTCCATATTTCATGAATGCTCCAAAGTGTTCCAACTTTAACAAATATCTCGGTATGTAATATGTGAATTAATTTTTACTTAAATAATTGTTTGTTGTCATTAATGCTGTCATTTTTGTTGTTTGTAGAAAAATGAAAATCAAAACAAAAAATCGCTGAGCTTTTTTTCTGTGTCACTTAACTAGCTTGGCGTTGTACTGTTGGAAATACACAAAAATAGCGGTTATTTTTACATCTTTGCAAACATAACATAAAGACACACACATGCATACATACCCTTAACACTACATCCATGTCCACTATTCCTTTCTTGTTTTTTAAGCTTATTCATGTACTTATCCTGTGTGTATATGTGTTAGAATCAATCACCTGATTGATTGGCTAGTAACTGCCAAGTCCGTACATATATGTTGCGTGTTATAAACAATTAACGCCATCCATACATTTCGGGTTACGGTGAATTGTCGTAACGTCAATTAATAGCATTACACTTATTACAATAATGATGACGTCGACTCTGAAGCTGACAACGACGCTGCTGGTGAACAGCCACTTTGCGGTGAACAGCGGTAGGAAATGAAATCACAATATTGTCGTTACCGTAATCGGTTTACCATCGGCATTAATTTGTACTTCCTTTTCCGTACGCACATTATTCGTAAAGCTCTGCAAACTGGGCGGTTTACTTAAATCGATCGGAGGTATATCCTCGTCGTAGTCTGCGGGCACATCACCCTCACCCTGTTCGTCGACATCGATTATCGAAGAGGGCTCCTCGAAGGTGTCGATGGGCTGGGTGGGTGCTGGGAAGTAGTGTGGCTGTTTCTTGGAAGAAGCTGGTCCTGGCATATATATGATACCATCATCGGTATCATCATCACCATCAAGCGATTTATTGTGATTATTGTTGGTGGCAACTAACTGCTGGTGGTGGTGGTGATGTGGATGATGGTGGTGATGCTGATGATGATGCGACTGCTGTGCGGAATGATGGGTGTGATGTGACGACATATCATTGGGATTACAGGCATAACTGGCGGCATATCCTGAACCATTCTGATACGGATTGGCGTTCTTAACATAGGAATTACGACAACTGCCGCCACAATTCATATGATTCTCAGGATCACCTCCGTTAGCACCATAACAATGACCCCTATGCACCGAACCAGATTCACCATATTTGTGCAGACTATGACCCACTGTACCGTGTACAGGTTGCCCACTGCCAGAGTGGGCAATTGACTGCTATATGTGTGAATGTGAACGTGCTATGGACAGTGAATAGGGGCTAATGTCCTTCTGAATTTGCATCGTATCGTAGATGGGAAATTCACAGCAGAGTATGAATTTCAATGCAGCGGGAACTTCGACATAGATGGCAGGTGGCACCGGTATCAGGGGTGAGGTGGATGCTTTATATTTACGATATTCAAGTTGACTGTAAAATTTTTAATTTGAAATTATTATTTTAATAATTACCAGGATTTAAAGAAAACATATTATAAATACATATATTTTTAAATTACTTTTTAAGATAAAAAACAATTTCAGTGCACGATAATTCTCGAATGGTGTAACCGATTTCCCCCAAAATTGCTCACCTTTATAGTTCTTCAAAACTTAAATGAAGTTTGAAGATGGGGAATCTCGGTCCACTCCTTTTTCCACCTCCCACACAAAATGGTCAACATTTTCCTGAAAATTTCCACTTTCTAGTACCTCGCCCACAAAGGGTCAATATTTTGGAAACAGGTAAATTTCATATGAAGCGAACGGAATATCCCATTTTACCGAAGAAAAATTGTGCATCGTAATAAATCCACCCTACATACATCAAGTTCGTTCAAGTGAAAATTGAATAATCGATTTAATTCATTCAAATATACGGTCTATAAAACTACCTCTTCTGGTACCTCCTTACAGAGGTCTACTCTTTGATAAAAAAACTTGTACCTTTTATACAACGAATAATAAAACCTGTGTATAATTCCATAGACCTCAGTAAAACATAGGCTGAGGGTCTATATCTGTCGGCAACCCCGATTGACACTTTTTTATATGTTTTTAATTAATTATTCATTATTTTTTTAATATCTACTTACTCTCGATATTTTTCATCAGCTGATCTTTCTCTCAAAGGTATTCCCGATAGAAATAGTATTATAAAAGTGGTGAAAATCGGTGAGGCTATTGCCACCCATTCATGGCCGGATATGACATTAAGTGAAATGGCAAATATACCCCACCAGATGACAACTTCGCCAAAATAGTTGGGGTGGCGTGACAAACGCCATAGACCTAAAAGAAAGAATAGAAAATTATTTGTTTCCAATTATTTTTTACAACCACATACAAGTATGTACTCTCTGTGTGTGTGTATGTTTCCTTACTTACCATCATTGCAAAATTTGCCCTGATTCGCCGGATCCTGGCGAAACGAGAATTTCTGCAAATCGGCATATGTCTCAGCCAGCAGACCAACAATGAACATACCCGTTCCAGCCGAATCCAAGGTTGTCATTGTTTTGGGTGCATTGGGCTGGGAATGGCGTGGTGAATTGATGATAATTACCGGCAGAGAGACTATGTAAACCCAAACAGCCTACACACGCACAAACATGGAGACAAAGGGGAAAAGAAAACATTTTCAATTAAGTTTCGTGTGATAATTACCAAATTGTCAAATATGTATGTCGTCGTTCTCGTTGTCCTTATCGAACAAACCTGAAATGTCCAAAAGACCGCATAGCGTATGATGTTTCTTCGTGTATCATCGAATTGTTTATCTCGTCCCAGTTTGACAATCCGATACAGCAGGTAACCAGATAGACGGGCGCCCCAAAGGCATACAAATAATGTGACCATCAATTGGCGGCTATCATAGGCCTGTAAATAAACGTTTAACAACATATTGGAGAAAGATGAGAAGGAGACGAGAAGAGAAGATAAACACACAAAATATTAAGTTTACACACAACCGTACACATGTTCGACATCAATATAAACAAATGAACAATGAACAATGAAAAACCACAATGATGACAAACATGTTTGCAAAACAATCCAATAACACAACCAACCGGGAGAGACGGCGAACCGACCGACAGATGTACAGTGGTCGGTATTGTTAATTTTAAAGGTAGGTGCATTTTTCGTAATTTTTTGAATTACTTTATATATAGTTGCTAAAACTAGCCGTATTTGAGTGAAATATTTGATTTCTAGGAATAAGACCTTGTTTTTTTCTTATAGTACCAAATTTAGTACCATTTAGTACACATAAGTACGAATTCAGTACAAATTCAGTATTCCAGCTCTATCGGTTCAACCATATCCAAATTGTACAAAATATTGTACCATTTGTACGGACACTACACAACTACCACGGAACTCTAACTTCCTGCGAACTTTTTATTCCAAGCCTGGGCAATATATCGTGATAGTTGCACCTTTTGCTCGATTAGAGGTCAACAGCACCTCTTCCTTACACTAACATATTTTCCGAATATTACTAATATTCAGTACAGTTCTTCTAATTAGTTGTCCATATTCTCTTCACCGACTTATAATTGTGGACAGTCCACTTCATCCCAATATTATTATCTGATCATCATCGAAAATTATAGGCGTTGTCCTTGACCATACTTGGATCCTCATGGAAAATTTCAAAGTGATCAGCGCTATATTTCCGCTCTATAGTGTTTTAATGAATACTAAAAATATCTGAATACGTAAGCACCTGTAAATATTTAAGCGAAACTCCCACATCCGAGTACATACGACAATATAATTGGTATAAATTTAAAGGTCAAATACTCGTCTTGGATAAACTATCAACTTCTCGGGTCTATGTCCTTCAGGGGTAAATATATACGTCATAGAAAACAATTTTTCTCATTCTTCACACAAAAGTCTGGGTCCATTTGAACCGCTAAATATTGAACGATCTTTATCAAAACAAGCATGCTTATTCTTTGGTCCATTCTCCATGTAAAAAATCGCGATGTTTGGACCATAATTGCGGCCTCTGGAGCGACCAGAAAATCAGAAAATCGATCTCTGCGAAAAACAATAAGGGTCTTCATTGGCCAGAACCCATCCTACATCCAAAAATTTCATAACTGTGGCCTGAATCGTGTTTACAAATTGTAATGGACAGACGGACGGACACAGATGTATTTTATCTTAAAAATATATTTTTTCTAATTTATATTTTATTTTTCATTCCAGGTTGTTCTGATTTGTGTATGCTCGAATTTCCCGTATGGTGACAATCGAAAACGATCTTCAAATAATTTGAAACAAGCTCGCCCCGCCGACAATTATTTCTTTTGGAATTATCCTGTTTTCTCAATCATAAAATTCTACAAGGAAGGATTGCAACACAATAAAGACCAAATAAGTCGCTTGAGGTGTTAAGAATAATATTTATTAAAATTTTATATTTTAAATGTTTTTATGTATATATTTTTTAAAAAGAATATTTAATAAAATTTAAAAAAAAAATTTGAAAAACAGTTTGTTTTTATTTACGGATACAACAAATACGGTAAGTATACATGGCCCTAAGCGTCTGACATATCTTATGTGATGACGTCACAATTTTTCGTTCCACCTGGTTTTGTGCATTTTTTGGACAAATTTCACAAAAATACCAGGGGCCCAGAATAAAATAGAAGGTCGCCCGCCAAAAATAAAAAAATTAGGAAAAATTGCATCTGGCAACGCCGTACAAAGAAATTACAAAAATTGTAGCATACTTTTAGGCGCTCGAATTTTTTTTTCGCGGGTAGGGTGTTGCCAGATCGAAATTTTTTCTGAATTTTTATTTTTTTTTTTTGGCGGGCACCTTGCTATTTTATTCTGAGCGCCTGGTATTTTTGTGAAATTTGCCCAAAAAAGCACATTTTTGTGATTTTTGTTTTTCAAATTCATTGGGAGCCAGGACAGACAGACACGTGACGTTAGTGTTTTACAATTGAATACTAAGAAACTAATATTGAGAACCCCCACTAACAGATTTGTTGACGTCCATAAATAAATAAAGACACATTTTTAGTATTTGTTTTTAGATTGGTTTATTTATTTGTTTTTTTTTTTTCAAAAAAAGTATCAATTTAGTATAAGGAAATTGATTTTAAAATCTTCAACGTAACTACCAAAGCAGTTACGTTGAAGAAAAAGGATTTTTATAAAAATCCAATATGACTGCTGCCTGTCGGTGTTGACGATAGATATATACCCTCAGCCTATGGTTTGTGTAGGTCTATGGAATTACACACAGATTTTATTATTCCTTGTATAAAAGGTATATGTTTTTTATCAAAGAGTTGACCATATGTGGAGAGGTACCAGAAAATGTTGCTTTATAGACCCCATTTTCGGTAAGTTTGGTAAAATATTACGATATTCAAACAATGTATCAATTCGGTTATTCATTTCGCTTCAGAATAAGTTTTTAATACCATCATTAGACATAATGCTGAGGGTATACGAGGGCAGTTCGGAAATTTCTTAGCCTGGCACAAAAAGCGCGGTATAAACAGAAAAAAAGTGAAGTGTTTCGGAAACTTCCATCTCTCTTAAACAATGAAAACACGCATTTCTAATTTTTCCATTGTAAAAATTGCGGATGCGTCTTTTTTTAACACATGTTGCTATATGAAGGAGTTGCCAGATCGAAACAAAATTTAACATGTGTTCATAACAGAGATGGAAGTTTTCAAAACACTTGAACTTTTTCTGTCTATACCGCGCTTTTTGCCCTCGTAAACATTGACCTACCCTGAACATTTTCTGGGAAGCAGATTTTTTCTAATCTGGTTTTCTGAAATAATATTTATCACACTAGAAGAACATGAAATGCCGAATTATAATAGCTACGTGGGTTAGAAAATACAATAACTGAGGCGGATCTTTTATATGGAGACTATGTCCAAACATGGACTTATATTGAATATTTTGGCAAATGTGTATTTCACTCTCCAAGAATTCAGAATGCCAAGTTACAGCTACCTCGGTGGGAAAATGTGACTAAAACCTTTAAGCCATACACACATCTTTCGGCAATCTAGGCCCATATTACCATATAGATGTCATAAATTACTTTGAAATGATCACTGCCCTTACAAGGCAAAATTCAAATAACAAAGATGTCATATCTATTTACGTGTGCTCGATTGACACAAATCAAATTTGCTTTTCATAGATTCTGATTTACATATAGCCCACATACCTAACATTGTCCGATTTCATATTAATTTTACATCAGAGGTCCTGTTATTCCCGGATTTTTTACATAGATTGCTTTATTTTTGTCTGATTTTCTGGTCGCTCCAGAGGCCACGATTATGGCCCAAAAATCGCGAATTTTTACATGGAGAAGGGAATCGGGCCAAAGAATAAGCATGCCTGTTTTGATAAAGATCGGTCATTATTTAACGGGCCAAATGGACCCTGACATTTGTGAGAAAATTTACAAAGTTTGTATTCTATAGCGTATAGATTTACTCTGAAGGGCATAGGCCCGAGAAGTTGATAGTATATCCAAAAGGAGTGGTTGACCTTTAAATTGATACCAATTATATTGTCGTATGTACTCGAATGTGGGAGTTACACTTAAATATTTACAGGTGGTTATGTTCATATATTATTTAGTATCCCATTATCAAACTAGACCTGGATCCTCATGAATCCAGGTATGGTCAAGCACATCGCCTATAATTTTCGATGATGATCAGATAATAATATTGGGATGAAGTGAACCGAAAACTTTTTTTAGGGTTGATCTATAAGCCACAATTATAAGCCGAACGTCACAATACAACCCACGGCAAAAGGAATATGGATAAGTAATTAGAAGGACAGTACTGAATATTAGTAATATTCGGAAAATATGTCAGTGTAAGGGAAGAGGTGCTGTTGACCTCTAATAGGACAAGAGGTTGCAACTACCACGAAATATTGCCCAGGCTCGGAATAAAAATCCGCATAAATTTATAGTTGCGTGGTAGTATGGTCGGCCCGTCCTACTAGACTGCTTCGCTCACTGTGTTTAAAATGTTTTTATTCAGGAACCGTACAAATGGGTAGCTTCTTAAAAATGTAATTCCAACGACCGTGGCTTTTATAAATATATTTTTAAAGATCAAACACAAGGATGGATTTTTTTAAATATGTTTTCGTTTAACAATTACAGACGTAGACTTTTTAGAATATTTTTTTCAAGGTATTTATATACGAATTTTTTTTAAGACTAATCATAAATAAAAAACATCAGAATTGTATGCAAAAAATATTTACCCAAAATTAATATATGCCGATCACTGTATGACACAATGGCACTTCGAAAAGTTGAAACGTTATTCCAACATATACATAAGGGCCATATCCGTTTGTCTGTCCATCCATTTGCTGTTTTTGTTTTTATTTTTTTTTGTTCATTTACAGTTTATGGACATAAGAACCATCAACATGCCCCACCCACACCTTTCTCTCCATTCACCTTCTTTCCATTATCACCATTAGTACATTTACGTTAATGGCGGTGTTCTTGTGTCTGTGTCCGGAAAGTGTCGTCCACTCATGTGTATATCATCTACACAGCTGGCATGTGTTCTGGCCATGTTTGGTGTATCTCACTTTGTGTGTGTTAATTTGTGGTCAATGGACATATGTATATTTTATGTGGCCACATATATACATACGTATATATATATGGGTCATTACATGATGTATTTTATACAACAATGGTAAGATATTATGTTTCAGGTGGTAGTGGAGTCCCAAAATTATCAAATACTGAAATTTATTGATTGATCAATTAGAATTTAATGTGCAATTCATTTGTTTGCCTTAGCCTGCTGTTAAATTGTAAATGACCATAA